AGCAGGCACGGTCTGCATGGTCAAGAGCGACTCCCTGGCACTACTGTTCCGGGGACACGCATGTCCATGTGTTAACAGAAACGTATTTAAACGTCTCAAATCCCTTAGAAATTTGTAGGACACACACAAAACTCAAAAATAAAATGGTGCCCATAACTGCAATATCCATCCAGGTTCAGGGTCGATCCTCGAGGATGGGAGGAACAATGTTTTGGGCCCAGGGCAGTGCCAACTAGAGGTATGACTGCAGCCACCCTCACCCCAAGCAGTCAGGTCCTTGGTCACCGTGCCGTCAGGCAGACCAACCTTATTGATGAAGCTGGACTTGCCGACATTCGGGTACCCACACAGAAGCAGGGTCCTTGTATTCGGGTCAATGGTCGGCAGACGGGACAGATGCTGACGCACTGTGAGAAGTTTACAGTAATCGTATTTAATTTCATAAGAAAACTTAAGAAACTCAAAGCTGAAGATCTGCTCAACTTAGCTGTGCACTCCAGCACTGTGGTCACATTACCCTCACTCCAGCATTTATCATGTACGTGACGGACAGAATACGAATGAACGGAGAAGGGAGCAGCTGTGGAGGCAGCGGGCATTCAGGCTGTACCAGGAATCCTGCTCCCAGGCCCGACAGCATAGATTCCTATCCAACAGGCACAAGATGGGGCCCAAACCACACAACCCAGACAACTAAGAGAGATGACATTTGAAAGAGCATTTTCGAGCGAGTGTGTGTGCCATCACTTCCTGGCTGGGCAGCAGGCTACTTTCATGTAATGAGAAACCCTCAGGGGCCTCGTCTGCTCCAGCGACACCAGTGGGCCACTCTGATGATGTAACGGCTCACTGGAAGCACTGTTAAAGCAGCCCAGTGTTACAATCTTGTCACAAATTATTTGCAAGATGCTGGGAGGGGTGGGGGTGGGGGTCCAAAACTAAATCAGTTAAAAACACGTGAAATGTGGGCTTCCCTGGTGGCGCAGTGGTTGAGAGTCCGCCTGCCGATGCAGGGGACGTGGGTTCGTGCCCGGGTCCGAGAAGATCCCACATGCCGCACAGTGGTTGGGCCTGTGAGCCAAGGCCGCTGAGCCTGTGCGTCCGGAGCCTGCGCTCCGCAACGGAGAGGCCACAACAGCGAGAGGCCCGTGTACCGCAAAAAAAAAAAAAAAAGTCCTACTACATTAAGAAATTATCCTACTGAAAACAACCACCAGGTAACAAAACTGGAGTAGCAGTTTGATGCTAACGCGTTTTACAAAGAAATGCACCATATTGTCAGTAACAGGTAAAACTACGGGTCACTTTATTTTTATATGTTTTATTACTTCCCCATAATTTATAACATACATGCCTTACCTATTAAACTTAAAAAACATAAATTTTCTTAATAGTGCTACTAATGTGTAAGCATGTTAAGTGCTAGCTGCTTTTTCAGTAATATCTAACCTGTTAGAATTTCTTACAGGCTAGGCTGGGAAAAATAATTTGATCCTCTTATCTCTAAAACAAAAAAAATAAATAAACATTTTAAAAGTAACTTCTCGACAAGGACCAAGTACGTTAACAGAATGCACTAAAACCTGTTTTTGCTGATGCATAACAAGTACCTTGTTCCAAATATTCCAAACTCTGCTTCTGTCTTTTGATAATAGTACACATTCGCCCAAGGGCCGCACGTTTCAGCTGCTTGCAGCGGTAGAGAGAATCACCATATTTCATAAGCCGCACATAATCTTTAGCAACACTGAAAGACATAAAAAGAAATGTGTAAGAGTTTTCTCTTTTAACAGTAACTTAAAAGATACTATATTAAGAAAATACCTTACTTGTCCACTAAATTTTTGGCAATATTTATTTGTCCTAGAGCCAACTTGTAATGATCCTTGTCATACAGAATGTTCATCAAATCAGCATAAAATGGATGAATATCCTATAACAAGAAAAACAAAGTGGTCATTTTGCTCCAGCAGTTTCTCCTCCCAATATATGAATAGCACTTGAAGAATAGTTTCCTAGGGAAACACATCGCACCTCTTCCTCTTCCTCACCCCTCCAAGATCTTCTCCCCGGTCCTCTCTCCTGTTCAGTACTGTTTAGTTCACAGAGAAAAATGGAGTCAGCAGGGCAGCCAGGCCCATCTCCATCTGAGCACCAGAGCGCACCCCTCACCACTCAAGAACTGAGCTGGAGAAGTTCTTTCCTGTCCCATCAACCTTACGCTATTATTGCCCCAAAACTTTAAAAAAGTTTTAAAACTCCCTTGAGCCCACCACAATCTGCCCATCTCTGCTCCTCTTCTTGGCAGACGCTTCTCAGCTCCTCAGCTCTGGAGCCACCAGTGCCCTGGTGGCCGTGCTCCCCACCTAGTGCTCTCATCCCCACAGACCAGTCCTCCTTCGAAAGTCAGTCACAGCAAGGCCAGCGAGGCCGGTCCCAGGCTCCACTGCAAAGGCCGCTACACAAGTCGCCTCGCCCCACCCACACCCTCTCCGACCCGCTTCCTGGACCTTCCTGTTCCTTGAAGACACCAGACTCTGGAGCCCTGGGCCTTTGCACTTGCTGTTTCTGTGCCTCAGTGCTCATTCCCCAGGTAGCGCACAGCTCTCGCTTCCTTCAGGGCTCAGCTAGCGGCCCTCCCTCGTCTCCATACCCGTATAACACACATGTTTTCATGTTTATTATCTCTCCCCCCCCCCACTAGACAAGATAGGGGCTTTAAAAATGACTGCTAAACAGACACAGCAATCGTTTAATGAATGAATCGCTTAATGAACTTCAACCTTTTACTCGAAAATTGTTCTCAGATAACTTTAGTTTGAAAAAAAAAAGCCAACAGGAATAGAATGTTCATAAATTTGAACCCATAATGTATATTAAAAAAAAAATACCAAGGATAAAAAAAAATTTTTTTTTACAAAGAACAAAATTCTGGTGTTGATTAGATCAAAGTATTTTCTGTTTGCTCACATCAGGTGTTTCCTGGTGTCTTCATCTCATTCTTACTGCCTTCTTTATCCCCAGGTACTTCCTGAAGTACCCTCACTTTCCCAAGAAACTACACCCGCATCCAGCCAGTAGTCACTGTGCACCTATCAAGTCCCAGAATTTTGTAACAACAATTTCTGTCACATAAACCAATCTCTTCTCACTGCCTTAACCCACCTTCAGGGACTGTTGTAGGGCAGTGGCACATTTAGGCTCTCATGCTGTACTGCTGATCCCACATTCATCACCTCCTCAACAACCCTGCAACAGCGTCGCCCCACACAGGGACTCCACAGGCAGTGTCCTCTCTTGCATCCTACAGCTAAACACACAAGCAAACTGCTCTACACAGCAGAGCTCAACTTTGGGGGCTCAATGCAGAAGGCGGCTCCCCACGAGACTGTTTCTTGCCCGTGAAGAAAGTACACAGACAGTTGTTAGCTGATGAAACAACAACATCACAAACACTGCTGGGCCTCAAGCCACTGGCCCAACTTGAGGCCACAAGAAAGGGAGCCTTGGAAAGAGGGAGGAGAGGAAGCACACAAGCCGCCAGAAGCTCGGGCTCCTAAATTCAGTCCACAGCTTTCAGAGCTTGGGTTGGCCCCTACAAGCCTAGAGGTTACAGAAAAAGCCCGAGCGAGGCATGCTCTGGGCCCTCGTAGATGGAGCTTGACCAGGGGAAAAAAGGAACTAAGGAATCAAAACACCTGTACTCTGTTCCCAGTTTTGCCACTAACTCTCAGAGTAAACTTCCACAAGTCAATTATTTCCTCTTTCCTTCATTATCTCTAGACAGCCCTGGTTTAACCCCGTCTGAAGGCTCACATTTACATAATCACTTATGTTTCCCAGAATCACTTACATCCAATTTGGGGAAATCCGTCAGAATCTGAGAGAGTCTGTCATGGTAATTCTGCTGAGTAAATTTGACTTTCCTCATATAAAAGTGTCTAATGCGATGGATTTGATAATGTTTATGGATAACTGTCGGAGTCTTTCGTTGAGTCTTCGACAAGGTTAAATCAATAAAGTCCTGCAATTAAATAAAGTTACACAGTTACACCAAAAACATCTACTTTCACCCACTTATTTGAAACCATCTTAAAAGACTAATATTTAACAATACGATATATTTTAAACTACAAACACATTTTCTAATTAAATCTTCAATATAAAACTTGCTCATCTTTATAGTTCCTGGCCTTTAAGAAACACTCAGCAAATGGCTCCAGAAGTAAATTTTATCCTACGCTTTCTTCACGTTATCCTAATTTCCAAATACCTAAGAACTTCTGAAACGTAAGTAGCCAGACAACTCAAGCATAAATTAGAAAAAAAAATTTTTTTAATGAGAAGCAGTTCTACTGTTCCAGTTTGCATATCTGTGGCTTTGAAAGTACATAAAATAACATATAAAACTAAAACCCACTATATACAATTTCCTAAGGTAAGGTGATTAAGGCATGTAAGGTAACTACCAGAGGATATAAAAGACTTCTGCATGAATTCCCCAGTGCAAACTAGCCAAGAAGACAGGTGCCGGCAACACTGTTAGCTCCGGGAGGGACGCCGCGGTCTCGCCTCTGACCGCGACCCCTTTTTCCATCTGGCAGAATCAACAAACCCTTTGGGGACAGCTCAAAACCTACCTACTTCATGAAGTTTGCCCTGACTCTCCCCCTCTTCTCTGGGGAGGGCCCTAACATCTGAGGAGGGACCCTAACCCCGGGCATCCCTAATCTCTGAGGAAGGACCCCCACCATCTCGGGAGACCCCTAACCCGGTGGCCCTAATCTGTAGAGAACATGGTCTAAGACGGGGGCCTGGCGGAGGAGGCGACCCCTCCCAGCCCAGCGTTACAAACCGGACCCTCGATTCCCGTGACCCGGCAGAGAAAAGTGTGGGCGGAAGGGCCCTCGGGGCCGCCTACCTTGGCGGACGGCACCACCGTGATCTTCTTGAAGTTGTAGTGCGCCATGCCCGCGATCAGCCACGAGGGACGGCGGCCCGGACTTCCGCCGCGGGGGTAGAGGGGAGGGCCAGCGGGTAGGAGGAACTTCCGCCAAGATGGACGGGACTTCCGCTAGCTACGCGTCACTTCCGGGCGCTCCCTACGTCCCCCACGCACGGCCTCGGCGTCGCACAGCGCCCCCGCCCGGCCGGAGGAGGGGTCACGGGGCCGGGGGTGGGGCTGAGGGCGCGCGGAGGGCGTGAGGAAGACTGCGGGGAGGAAGCGGTTTTGAGGTTCAATCCCTGACCCTAAAGAGGAGGGTCCTGAGAGGCCTCCCTGGGGGTCTGTGCTCCCCGCGACGGTCACCGGCTCCAGGGCCCGGCCGCGATCCCCTCCCGGCCCGGGTCAGGGGTCTCGGGAGTCTCGGGGTGTCGGGGTGGTCAGAGGGGCTCGGAAGGCTCCGGGGGCCTCGGGTCTGGGATTTCGAAGGGCCTGGGGGACTCGGGATCTGAGGAGGCCAGGGGCTCTGGGCTCTCAGGATTGGGGAGTCTCGGGGGCCGTACGTTGCGGCCGCTGGCGGGGTGAACGGAAGGTAGGGGGGCGCGAGGGTCTGCACTTTGCGCGCTCACGCCACCTCTCCATTTGTGAGCGCGGTAAATCTTATTAAATAAACGCCGTCAGGGCTTCCCTGGTGGCGCAGTGGTTGAGAGCCCGCCTGCCGATGCAGGGCACACGGGTTCGTGCCCCGGTCCGGGAAGATACCACATGCCGCGGAGCCACGGGGCCCGTGAGCCATGGCCGCTGAGCCTGCGCGTCCGGAGCCTGTGCTCCGCAACGGGAGAGGCCACAACAGTGAGAGGTCTGCGTATCACAAAAATAAAAAAAAAATAAAATAAAAAATAAACGCCGTTGAGGCCGAATCTTCTGCAGAGAAGGGACCCGTCTCCCTGCGGGCCGGAGTCCGCGCTCGCGACCCCATCCCCGGCCCGGGCCGCGACGCGGGCCCTGGGCCCCGCCCGACCTGCCAGCCTTCTCCTGACCTGGGCCCTCAGCCGCAGGCCGTATGTCAGTCATCATTTTCTCTGCTTCCCGTCTTCTCAAGACCCACTCTTCTATCCCGTGGCGTCAGTGACTCTGGCTCTTAGTCTCTCCGCGCCCCTGACCTTGGCTGACTTACCTGCCCGCGCCTCGCCCTAACAAGCTCCACCTGGAGCTTTTGCCCCCGCCCTTTGCTCTGCCTGCCGGGGTCTCACCGAATGCTTATATGGACTAGACATTTCCAATCAATTGTGTAATGTCCACCTACACGCTTCCAGACATGGCAACGAAGCATTTCTGAAAATCAAACTCTAGGTCGGTCCATCCTCACCGCCCTGTGCGGCAGGGCAGCCCCTCCCCCTCCCACTGAGATGCCAGGAGTGTGAAACAGGCCTCGGGTGAGATCATGCAGAAGGAGATGGCCCCCAAGGCCTGCGAAACCCCACGGAGGAGGGGCGGGGGGGCTGCAGTCGGCTCCGCACGTGCCCTCTGGAGTGCACTGAAGAGAAGGTGAAGGGGCTGGGGCACTGGGACACTCCCCACCATAATCTCACCTAACGGTGTGGCCACTCCCTCAGGGAGCCCAGGACCACATACCTGGTAAACTGTACCTGCGTGCGTGTGACCAGGTGTAGAGCACTATTCACTAGCCCACATGTTAACTCATTTCATCCCTACAGCAACCCTGTGACTGGATGGGGAAACCGAGGCACAGCACAGGGGTAACTAGCCTGGTCACAGCTAACAGGCAGCAGTGGGGCTTGAACCTGGGTAGCCTGGCCCAGCATCTCTGCTATCCACCAGCAGCTGCTCTGCTTCTCAATCATCTCGACTTCTCAGATCTTTTTAACAAGTCTTCCCATTCTTAACGTGAAAATGCCTCATAAACCCCCCAAATTCCAACACCAAAAATAATTTTGAGTCACGATTCTCTCATCTGTTATTAACTGTACTACCCGTTTTTGTGTCATGGGTTAGAAAAGCATGCCTCCTGTGTCTCTGTGGCACTTCTGAAGGAAGCCTCTGGGGTAATTAGGATTTGCTAGAATCATTTGCTAAACCCCATACAGCTCTGTGCACCATTCCTGAGATGCACGGAACCATGCTCACACCCCTGTGTCTTCCTCAGGTGCATGTCCCTCAACCTCTCCCCCTCCCCTCACTCTTACATGGCCCGTTTCTCCTTAAAAAATACAGTATTTAGATAAGTTCAACCAATCCTTTGCTTCGGGCAAGCAACTATCCTTTCTTTAGCTTTTAACTCTAGGCAATAATTGAACAATTTCTTACATTTGCGCAGCACTTTAACATTTACAAAGTGCTTTACTTTTTAGTATCAATAATATTCTCAACAACTTTGTGGTGCAGCACTAAACCAAGACCAGAGGCTTGCTTCTCCCCAAGGATGCTCCAAGTGGCAAACAGGACCCCAGGCTCTGCTGAGGACCCGCATCTTTTCAGCTGTCCCGTAAACACAATCATGTATATAGGCAGTGTATGGAGCGGACAGAATTTTTTTAAATGATGAATATATAAGATGTCAAATATGTGATTTTCTTGGTTTTACAAAGAACAGTTGAAGTCTGCTTGTTCAATAGAACAGAAGAGAAACCATTCGTTAACCAAAAAGAGGACCCTTGACAAAGAGAAAGTGCATTAACATTTCTGTCAGAGAATAACGTCAGGACTTTATACGTCCTGTCAATGAAAAACAGACAGGTCTTTGGTATTTTTACTATTCACCCATGAATTTGAAATCGTGTTTGCCTAAAAACACTTAATAAACACTTGCCCTGGTGAAAAGCTCTGCACCTTACAGCTTTGTGAGCCATGGTGAGTGACAAGTCCTCGTAGCCCTGGTTCCTCTTTCGCAAAATGGGGGAAATAAAGCCCCCCTCCAGAGGATTGTTTATGGAGGCTAGTTAAGATGTGTGCAAAAGCATAAAGTGTGTGCAAAAACAAGGCGTAAAGTAAGAGGCACTAGTGAAATGACCATCATGAATCAGTTTTATATGAAAACCTTATCGGGGCAGCACAAAGTCATGCTCTGAGCATTGCCATGAAGTGTATCAAATGCCTAATTTCTCACCAGGGATTCTCGGTTCCCACATGTGGCAATAAAATCACCCCTTAGAGAGCGCGGTCATGCAGAAACTGAGCTATTTGCCAGCCTTCAAAGGAAAAGAACTAGCACATGAAAAGAAGAGACTAGAAACACCTCCCCTCACTGTGTGTCTGTGTGACAAGTCCACTGGCAGGAGCTCTCTGCTCGGCCACCAGGCCTGTCTGAACGAACACACAAGCGTCATGCTTGTGGCCCCTGGCGCTGCACGCCCAGGGCGAGGAACACGGAGCACCACACTCCACCTCCCACCTTCTCTGCTCCTCTGCCCTCACTCTGCCTGCCTGAGTGCGGCTTCCTGGGGGCAGGTGCGTGTCCCAGACCACACGTCCTTGGACACACTGCCGGGCTCCTCAGAAGAGCTGGGAAGGCAGATGGCCAGTTCTTGAGCCGATGGTGACAGTGTGGTGGGATGTTCAGTTACCAGGACTCCTCAGACCATGAGCCTGGTGACGGGGACAGGCAAGCCTCAGCTGTGGTGAAGGACACTCTCGAGGGTGCCCTGCAGTGCTTTCTGGCGACTTCTGTCAGGGCACTTCACAGCCAAAGGGCTTGTTTCTCAGACCTCTATGTTTTGTGGAATTGGTCTCCTCTGCTTTACTTTCTTGTTACTATAATTCTTTTTTTTTTTTTTTAACATCTTTATTGGGGTATAATTACTTTACAATGGTGTGTTAGTTTCTGCTTTATAACAGAGTGAGTCAGTTATACATATATATATGTTCCCATATCTCTTCCCTCTTTGTCTCCCTCCCTCCCACCCTCCCTATCCCACCCCTCCAGACAGCCACAAAGAACCGAGCCGGTTTGTTACTATAATTCTGATTGATGAAAAGTACATCTTGCAGCAGAATCTGTGCCAGGAACTGTGACCAAACTTCTTGTCTAAAAGGAGCCTTTGTGTGGGGATTAGTACTTAGCCGTAGGTCACTCAGGGTACGGAATTAGAAGTTGTTAGGACCTGTGCATCTGGCAGTGATTTCCCTGCATCCCCAGAAGCTGTGTTCTGGGGACTCATTCAGCATGAATCATGTGTCCCCCTGGGTCCAGCTTAATTCCCGAGGAGGTGGCCCCTCCGAGGGCAGGACCATCTTGTCCTACTGACATTTCCCTCGTCAGAACTGAGCTGACTGAAAGCCTGTGCAGCCGGGCGGTGACATTTGCTCTCTGGCTTCTGTGTTGCTCGGGGTCCCACCTCTTTCACAGCTCCATCTGTGGTACAACAGCTGGAGAGGGGCCTCGGGGGGAGCCCAGACGCCTGTCCCCTGGAGCCGCAAGAGACACAGCAGGCCTTGGGCTCTGAGGCTGTGCCCCCTGATCCTGAGAGGCACACTCTCCCCCGAGAAGCTGCAGCCAGCAAACCATGGGACTGCTGCTCCGGCCCATCCCACGGTGGAGGGAGACCTGCTGCTGAGGACTCCACGGAGCAGGGTGGAGGAGGGACACCCTGAGCCCAGTCCCGCCCCTCGGCCTCCTGGCCTGAATCAATGGTGCCTCAATGCTGGACTGGGGGACCTAAGCCAGGTCCACACAGCAGAGGTCTGCAAATGTGTGTATCTTTCAGTTGTTGAAGTGATTGGTTATGAAAAGAACTCACTGAAGGATAAAGAGATGAAAGGTTTATTCATTATGGTTTTCCTTTAATATGACACTGAAAACTCAAGAGAAGAGGAATTTTACTTTAATGACATTACTTGGTGACTTAGCTCAGGCTGCTATAACAAAATACCACAGACGGGGTGGCTTAAACAACAGATGTTTACTTCCCGTAGTTCTGGAGGCTGGCAGCCCAAGATCATGGTGCTGTCACGGTCACATTCTGCTGAGTTCACAGACAGCACCTTCTTGCTGTGCCCTCACTTGGTGGTGCGAGGAAACTTTGGTGTCTTTTCCT